GACCTCCGACCTCTGACCCTAGGAGCCGTAGTTGGCCTCGTCGAAGGCCTTCCTCGCCCTCTTCAGCTCCTCGTTCATCGTCAGCAGATCCTTCACTCGGGCGAACTTCCGCGGGTCTTTACGGATCAAGAAAACGATGTCCTGGAAAAACACGCAAACTTAGGAATCGAAGAACGGAAATTTAAACGTCCCCAACAAACCTCCACCTGGACCCTCACCTGTCGCTCACCTCCACCTGGACCCTCACCTGTCGCTCACCTCCACCTGGACCCTCACCTGTCGCTCACCTCCACCTGGACCCTCACCTGTCGCTCACCTCCACCTGGACCCCGCCCCTGTCACTCACCTCCACCTGGACCTCACCTGTCACTCACCTCCACCTGGACCTGCCCCTGTCGCTCACCTCACCTGGACCCTCACCTGTCGCTCACCTCCACCTGGACCTCGCTCACCTCCACCTGTCGCTCACCTCCACCTGACCCTCACCTGTCCTCACCTCCACCTGGACCTGTCGCTCACCTCCACCTGGACCCTCACCTGTCGCTCACCTCCACCTGGACCCCACCTGTCGCTCACCTCACCTCACCTCCCTGGACCCCCCCTCACCTCCACCTGGACCTCCCTCGCCCCTGTCGCTCACCTCCACCTGGACCCCGCCCCAACACCTCCACCTGGACCCTCACCTGTCGCTCACCTCCACCTGGACCTCCACCTGGACCCTCACCTGTCGCTCACCTCCACCTGGACCCTCACCTGTCGCTACCTCCACCTCTCACCTCCACCACCTGTCGCTCACCTCCACCTGGACCCTCACCTGTCGCTCACCTCCACCTGGACCCCGCCCCTGTCGCTCACCTCCACCTGGACCCTGCCCTGGCGTCCGATGGACATGGCCTTGTGGGTCATTTCCGTGATGAACTCGATGACCAGATCTTCCAGGATGTCCACAGACTCGGTGTACGGGTTCTGGTCGTCTCCGAAGCCGTACATCATGCACCTGTCGCCGGGACGCGACAAACCGGACGAACATGAAACACAGAACGACAAAAAGAACAACAAAACATTTCAATTCAGTTTTATGTCGTGTAAATTCTCTTTTTATTTCTTTGGCTTTATCACAGACAAAGACTCGTTTGTTTTTCTCGACCTGCTGCAGAAAGAAAAACGTAAAAACTCCCGCTCTGTTTGCGTCCTCTGCCTGTGCTGTGTCACACTCTACGTCAGATCTTTATTCAGACTCTTGATTCTTTTATCTGTGAATAAACGGGCAGATACCGGAGTTCTTTGGAGAAGAGTCTTTTGCGTCGTCCGTGTCCAGACTCCACTCCTCCGTGCGCCTCCTCCGGCTCCTCCTCAAACCCGGCCTCCTCCTCTTCATCGGCCATTCTGAAACACAACACCAGATCAGAAAACTACAATAAAAATAAAACAAAACATCCTCAAACAACACAAGATTATTAAACTAAAATAAAACATCCTGAAACAACATGAGATTATGAAACTAAAATAATTAAACTAAAATAAAACACTTTTAAACACAACACAAGATTATAAAACATCCTGAAACACAACAGATTAAACTAGAAAAATAAAACCCCTGAGACAGAGAGACGACTTCAGGGAGCAGAACTGGGATCATAAAGAAGTTAACGATATGATACACACCTCGATACGATGTGCAGTGTCGGGAGTAACAGATTACAAGTACCAGAGTAATCAGAGTACAAATGATGAGGAACTGTATTCAGTTACAGTTACTGTTTCAGTGAGTGGTAATTGGATTACAGTTACTTTGTTGAAATTAAATGGATTACACAGAGAACTAAACCAGGACTAAACCAGGACTAAACCAGGTCTAAACCAGGTCTAAACCAGGACTGAACCAGGACTAAACCAGGTCCAAACCAGGACTGAACCAGGACTAAACGAGGACTAAACGAGGTCCGAGACCAGGACTAGACAAGGACTGAGATCAGGATTGAGACTGGGAACAGGACCAGGACTGAAAATGGTTCAGTCCTGGTTCAGTCCGTATGTGGGGCATCGCATTTTAAGTCACAGAAACGCCATTTCTCATTTCCGTGACTTAAACCAGGATTAAACTAGGACTAAACCGTTTTCAGTCCTGGTCTGGTCCCGGCCTCAGTCCTGGTCTTTCTGGTTTGGTTCTGGACCTGGTTTAGTCCTGATTCAGTCGAATGAACGAATGATACACAGATTCTTCTCTTTTACAAAATGCTACGCGAGCCGCCGATGTTCTCCTGATATTAACACTTTATTTTAACTTCCACTTTATTCTAAAAAAATACGACTTTATTCCTGTAAAATTACGATTTTTTGAGGCTTCGACTTTATTGTCATAATATTACGACTTTAATGTTGAAATGTTACGACTTTATTCTCGTAGCGCCAGCATGTTTTTTAGTTTTTTATTTGACCCTTTTACTCCGTCGTAAATCCGAGAAAATAAATGAATAAAACTAAAGCAAAGTAATTTTCAGAGAGAAAGCAGAGTGCAGGACCATACACACACATATACACACATTAAAAACACACATAAACACATTTATATAAACATATAAACTGTATATTTTGTGTTCGTGTCACGCGCCGCTGTTTTTACCACAAATCCAACATAAAATCCAAAACGGGCTCAAATATACAATAAATGTTCATGTTTTTCACTGCAGCTGCAGCGGTTTTCGCTCCCGACGCTTTTAAGATTCTTAAATGTTCTTAAATGTTCTTAAATGTTTGTATAAATGAGTTTTTTTTCTGCTAAAAAGACCAAATCTCACCTGTTTGTTTTGTGCGGACTCAAAGCGCTCACTTCCGGTCTGAGCCGCACGACCCGGAAGTGACTCATGTAAACAAACACCGCCCCCTGTGGTCATGTCCCGGTACTGCACCTGTCTGTGTTTAATGAGTTTATTCTTTTACATTATTATTATTATTATTATTATTATTATTATTATTATTATTATTATTATTATTATTATTATTGTTGTGTTGTGCCCTCATTTTATTATTTGTATTATGATAGAGACTTATGATTGAACCAATGGTGTGTAAGAACACTTGATCACGTGACGCACAAAATGATGAATGGCCTGAACCTGTGAATAAAAGTGTGTGTCCGTGGAGAATGTGGTAACCACACAAAAAGAGAAAACGAAGTGAACTGTGTTTTAATGCTCACGACAACAGAGTAAAAGGATCCTGCAAACAGGTTCTGGGCCCAGAGTCATTTTACGCAGTTTGAGGATCGGTCTCCAGGTGAATGTCGCGACGGTAAATGCTGCACCTGAGTTCAGCCACTGACCGCAAACATGAGTAAAAACAGAGAAAAGGACACTGTGCCAAGCCGCTGGGGCAAAAAGGATACGAGCTGTGGGAGACAAAGTTTTTGGGCCACCTCCGTCTCCAAGGATTGAAGGACACTATTTTACAATCACCTGGTCCTGACGACGAAGATGATGAGGAAGAAAGCTGAGGCCAATGCGGAGCTTATCCAGTTCCTGGATGACAAGAGCCTGTCGCTGGTGATGCGCGAGGCGCTGAGGATTCTCCGGGAATATTACGCTGGCAAAGGGAAGCCCAGGGTGATAAACTTGTTCACTGAATTAACGTCTCTACAAAAGTCACCGATGGAAAATGTCACTATGTCATCAGAGCAGAGACGCGATTACTGCTCAGTGACGGACTTTTGACAGCAGTGGTTTTAAAGCGGCTGCCAGACACATTTAAACCATTTGTCATTCATGTTTCTCAGAGTGAAGATAAAATGACTTTTGCGGAGTTTAAGACAAAGCTCCGGAGTTATGAGGACATTGAAAATATGCGTGCAACTGTGTCTGAGGACAACGTGATGAAGGCGAGAGCGCAATTTGGCACAAGGCGCGCAGCAGAGAGCGCAAAGGACAGTGGCAATACGGACATTGAGTGTTATAAGTGTGGTGTCAGAGGCCACGTAGCCAAAGGCAGTGGTGCAGTCACTGTAAAAGTAACACACACAACAATGCGACGTGTGGACGGAGGAAGCAGCGGGATAACGCACAGCGTCCGACGCGGAGAGCAAAGAATAAGTGACTCGGAGATGCAGGTGCCAGATGTCAAAAGCAAAGGTCTGATGGTGGATGCGGGTGCAACGTCACATATCATCACAGACATCGCCAAGTTCAAGAGGTTCGATGCCAGTTTCCAGGCCGGGACGCGTTGTGTGGAGCGGATGGCACCAGGAGCAACGGAGTCGCCAAGCACAGAGGCGACGCAGAGGCGACGCAGAGGTGTGGTTGGTCGACAGCAGGGGGCACGTCTCAAAACAACGCTGAGGAGGACCTTGTACATCCCAACTCATCCTCAGGATATGTTCTCTGTGAAAGCTGCCACCACGTGTGGAGCCACGGTGATCTTCAGTGAGAAGAAGAACGTTCTGCTACATAAAGACTAAAAGGCACTAAATGTCCCATACATGTACACAACAAACTGTATCTGCACACGTCAGAAAGTGACAGTGAAAACCAGTGTAACAAATGTCATGATTTGCAGACTTGGCATGAAATTCTAGGACACTGCAATTTTGCAGATATCATGAAATTAAAACATGTTGTAAGTGGTGTGGAGATGAAGAATGAGGGAAATAAAACTCCACCACACTGTGAAATCTGCACACAGGGGAAGTTTATTCAAACTAGAAACAGAGGGTCGGATACCAGGGCCAAAGCACCTCTGGAAATGGTGCACACAGATTTATCTGGTCCTGTAGACCCTATGTCCAGAGAAGGTCATAGGTACTACACTATCCTTTACAGACGATTCTTCTAGTGCAGTGTTTGTATACTTTCTGAACAATAAGAGTGACACAGTACAAGCTACTGAGAAGTTTCTAGCTGATATGGCCCCTTATGGGCAGGTGAAATGTATGAGATCAGATAATGGTACAGAGGACACTGGGAAAGAGGACCAAGCATAATGAACCAGAGTGAGACCTCAGCCCCATACTCTCCCCATCAAAATGGTACTGCTGAACGCAACTGGAGAACTCTGTGTGACATGGCAGGTGTGTGCTCATTCACAGTGGGCCACCTAAGATGTTATGGACTTATGCTGTCCAGACTGCAGCTGTAGTGAGGAACAGGTGCTTCAGCACCCGCACTAAACAGACTCCTTTCTACATGTTAACTGGCAGCAGCCTAATATTTCCAGGATGCAGAAGTTTGGACAATTGTGTTACACATTTAAACATCAACAAAAAGGAAAGTTGGACACAAGATGTGAGAGGGATTTTTATCGGATATGACAAGAATAGTCCAGCCTATTTGGTGTTACTGTCCCAGCAACAGAAAAGTACAGAGACACAGACTTGTGGAGTTTATATCCAAAACGGACACAGATGTGCTGGATGCTGATGAAGATGATTTTGTGGTCAACAGACGGACAATTAAAACCCCACCTGTTAGTCCACATGTAACTGAAAAACAAGTAGACGTCAAAGAGCAAAGTGATAACCAGACACAAATGGTGAATAAAGAACAGGAACAGGCACCAAAAGAGGAAAATGGGGAACATCTATGTGAGCAGAGAGGCGATACCCAGCGAGAGAAAGGAAGAGACCTGGTTATTTAGATGATTATGTTTGTGGTTTTGAGGATGATGAGACCAATATTGACTATTGTTATAGACTATTATGTAACTTACCTCAAACATACAAAGAAGCTGTACCTCACCAGGTGCAAAAGACTGGGTTAATGCTATGGATGAAGAGATGCAGTCATTAAACGACAATGTAACGTTTACCCTGAGCACATTACTGAAGGGCAAAGCTGTAGTGGGGGTAAATGGGTCTATGCACTCAAAAAGAACAATGATGGATCTGACAAATACAAGGCGCGTTATGTTGCCAAAGGATATAGTCAGAAGAGAGGAGTGAACTAATCAGATGGTTGCGGATGTAATGACGAAACCAGCAACCAAACTTAAGTTGTTAAATTTTGAAACATTTATGTTTGGTGCACGATAAACATGTTCTAGGTGTAGAGGCCTGATTGTGTTTGTATAGTCATGTATTTGGGGGTGTTGTGTTGTGCCCTCATTTTATTATTTGTATTATGATAGAGACTTATGATTGAACCAATGGTGTGTAAGAACACTTGATCACGTGACGCACAAAATGATGAATGACCTGCACCTGTGAATAAAAGTGTGTGTCCGTGGAGAATGTGGTAACCACACAAAAAGAGAAAACGAAGTGAACTGTGTTTTAATGCTCACGACAACAGAGTAAAAGGATCCTGCTAACATCATTATTATTAATAACAGTGTTGGGAAGTTACTTTTCAAATGTAATCCCCTACAGATTACAGATTACACACCCCAGAATGTAGTTTGTAACGTAATCCATTAAATGACTTAAAGTGAGTAATGTAATCTGATTACTTTGGATTACTTGATTTGTTGTAGAGAAACAAAGACGAGGAAATCTTCACATAAGAAGTTTTGTCTGATAAAAGAAAATAAAAAGTCCAAACTTTACTGAACCAAATTAAAAATATTATTGATAAAAGACGAAGAAACACGTCCACACAGCAGGATTTAGTCCTGGTTTAGTCCTGGTTTAGACCTGGTTTAGTCCTGGTTTAGTCCTGGTTTACCTGGTTTAGTCCTGGTTTAGTCCTGGTTTAGTCCTGGTTTAGTCCTGGTTTAGACCTGGTTTGGTCCTGGTTTAGTCCTGGTTTAGACCTGGTTTAGTCCTGGTTTAGTCCTGGTTTAGACCTGGTTTAGTCCTGGTTTAGTCCTGGTTTAGTCCTGGTTTAGTCCTGGTTTAGACCTGGTTTAGTCCTGGTTTAGTCCTGGTTTAGTCCTGGTTTAGTCCTGGTTTAGTCCTGGTTTAGACCTGGTTTAGTCCTGGTTTAGTCCTGGTTTAGTCCTGGTTTAGTCCTGGTTTAGACCTGGTTTAGACCTGGTGTCTGGCAATGAGTGGAATTACAGGAAATCAGGAAACTACCACAGTGTAATCCATTTATTTGAACAAAGTAACTGTAATCCAATTACCACTCACTGAAACAGTAACTGTAACTGATGAATACAGTTACTCATCATTTGTACTCTGATTACTCCGGTACATGTAATCTGTTACTCCCGACACTGTTTAATCGTGACTTTTGAGTTTTAAATAAAAACAGATGAAGCGCATGGCGGCGCGCGCCTGCAGGGGGCGCTGCAGAGGGACACGTACTACAATCCACCGCACCGACTACAACCGAGGCATTTCGACCGGGATAGTTTATATCAGTGAATTTTAAAATATTTCAACAAAACTTTAAATAAATATTAGTTTAATGATCAAACTGAAGAACACTGTGATTTTAAATATATTATAATTCCAGTTTTTTAAATTTTAGTTACTCACAAAAAGTGGGTAAAACTTCCGAATTTTCACAAGTTTCTTTCAAAAGATAAACAGATTTACTGTAAACTTGTAATATTTGAAAAGTGTAATTTTATATTTATTTATTATTTGAATTTACTGTTTTTATGTGAAGATAATTCCGCCGCTGATTGGAGGAAACCGCGCGTAAGCCCCGCCCCCGGTCGAAATGCCTGGGGTTTGGTGAGTTCGGTGACAGAGCCGCTTGTTGATTCTTTTCTCACTCGTTTTTTTTTTGTTTTTTTTTTTTAAGTTTAAAATAAAAATAAAACTTCACAAAATCTCCACAAAAAACCGAGGACGGAGCCGCGGACAAGAGCCGGGGACAAGAGCCGCGGACAAGAGCCGGGGACAGAGCCGCGGACAAGAGCCGGGGACGGAGCCGCGGAGGAGCCGAAACTGAAGCGGGACCCGGAGCTGAAGCGTCCGGCTGGAAGTGACAGAGAAGAGCCGCCGGGGACAAGAGCCGAGGACAAGAGCCGAGGACAAGAGCCGAGGACAGGAGCCGAGGACAGGAGCCGAGGACAGGAGCCGAGGACAAGGAGCCGAGGACAAGAGCCGAGGACAGGAGGCGGGGACAAGAGCCGAGGACAAGAGCCGAGGACAAGAGCCGAGGACAAGAGAGGACAAGAGCCGAGGACAAGAGCCGAGGACAAGAGCCGAGGACAAGAGCCGAGGACAAGAGCCGAGGACAGAGCCGCGGACAAGAGCCGAGGACAAGAGCCGAGGACAGGAGCCGAGGACAGGAGCCGAGGACAGGAGCCGAGGACAAGAGCCGAGGACAGGAGGCGAGGACAGGAGCCGAGGACGAGACAAGAGCCGAGAGACAAGAGCCGAGGACAAGAGCCGAGGACAAGAGCCGAGAGAGCCGAGGACAAGAGCCGAGGACAAGAGCCGAGGACAAGAGCCCGAGCCGAGGACAGGAGCCGAGGACAAGAGCCGAGGACAAGAGCCGAGGACAAGAGCCGAGGACAGAAGGCGGGGACAGGAGGCGAGGACAGGAGCTCATCTCCGGGGGCAGGAGGAGGTTTTGGTCCTGGAGGTTCTGACACATCAACAGGTTCTGAGGTGAGTCCAACAGGAACAGAACTAAACCAGGACTAAACCAGGACTAAACCAGGACTAAACCAGGTCTAAACCAGGACTAAACCAGGACTAAACCAGGACTAAACCAGGACTAAACCAGGACTAAACCAGGACTAAACCAGGACTAAACCAGGTCTAAACCAGGACTAAACCAGGACTAAACCAGTAGAACCAGCTGCTGTAAACCAGATCTGGACTAAATATGAAGTAACATTTACATAAACTAATATTGACTCATCTAATTATGAAGAACTGAACCAGGACTAAACCTGGTCTAAACTCGGTCTAAACCTGGTCTAAACCTGGTCTAAACTCGGTCTAAACGTGGTCTAAACTCGATCTAAACTCGGTCTAAACTCGGTCTAAACCTGGTCTAAACTCGGTCTAAACTCGGTCTAAACTCGGTCTAAACTGGTCTAAACCTGGTCTAAACCTGGTCTAAACCTGGTCTAAACTCGGTCTAAACTCGGTCTAAACTCGGTCTAAACCTGGTCTAAACTCGGTCTAAACTCGGTCTAAACCTGGTCTAAACCTGGTCTAAACCTGGTCTAAACTCGGTCTAAACTCGTCTAAACTCGGTCTAAACCTGGTCTAAACTCGGTCTAAACCTCGGTCTAAACCTGGTCTAAACCTGGTCTAAACCTGGTCTAAACCTGGTCTAAACTCGGTCTAAACCTGGTCTAAACCTGGTCTAAACTCGGTCTAAACTCGGTCTAAACTCGGTCTAAACCTGGTCTAAACTCGGTCTAAACTCGGTCTAAACTCGGTCTAAACTCAGTCTAAACTCGGTCTAAACTCGGTCTAAACTCGGTCTAAACTCGGTCTAAACTCAGTCTAAACCTGGTCTAAACTCGGTCTAAACTCGGTCTAAACCGGTCTAAACTCGGTCTAAACTCGGTCTAAACTCGGTCTAAACTCGGTCTAAACTCGGTCTAAACTCGGTCTAAACTCGGTCTAAACTCGGTCTAAACTCAGTCTAAACTCGGTCTAAACTCGGTCTAAACTCGGTCTAAACTCGGTCTAAACTCGGTCTAGACCTGGTCTAAACTCGGTCTAAACTCGGTCTAAACTCGGTCTAAACTCGGTCTAAACTCGGTCTAAACTCGGTCTAAACTCGGTCTAAACTCGGTCTAGACCTGGTCTAAACTCGGTCTAAACCTGGTCTAAACTCGGTCTAAACTCGGTCTAAACTCGGTCTAAACTCGGTCTAGACCTGGTCTAAACTCGGTCTAGACCTGGTCTAAACTCGGTCTAAACTCGGTCTAAACTCGGTCTAAACTCGGTCTAAACTCGGTCTAAACTCGGTCTAAACTCGGTCTAAACCTGGTCTGTTCTGTCTCTACAGTGAAACTTTGAGTCTCTTTGTGTTTTTTTCACAGTTAAACCTGGACCTGGATGGTTCTAAACCAGGACCAAACCAGGTCTGAACCGGGTCCAGACCCGGCGTGACCCCGGCGTGACCCCGGCGTGACCCCGGCGTGACCCCGGCGTGACCCCGGCGTGTGTGTGGATGGCGTTTCCGGGCTCGTACGTGTGGCGAGGGCTGCGGACGCTCGGCCTCGTCCTGCTTTATTACATCTTCTCCATCGGGATCACGTTCTACAACAAGTGGCTCATGGAGGTACGTCAGATGCCCTCCCGCGCTCCCCGTTTGTCCCTGATGCCCTCCCGTCCTCCTCCGTTTGTCCCTGATGCCCTCCCGTCCTCCCCGTTTGTCCCTGATGCCCTCCCGTCCTCCCCGTTTGTCCCTGATGCCCTCCCGTCCTCTCCGTTTGTCCCTGATGCCCTCCCGTCCCGTCCTCCCCGTTTGTCCCTGATGCCCTCCCGTCCTCCCCGTTTGTCCCAGATGCCCTCCCGTCCTCCCCGTTTGTCCCAGATGCCCTCCCGTCCTCCCGTTTGTCCCAGATGCCCTCCCGTCCTCCCCGTTTGTCCCAGATGCCCTCCCGTCCTCCCCGTTTGTCCCAGATGCCCTCCCGTCCTCCCCGTTTGTCCCAGATGCCCTCCCGCCCTCCCCGTTTGTCCCAGATGCCCTCCCGTCCTCCCCGTTTGTCCCAGATGCCCTCCCGTCCTCTCCGTTTGTCCCAGATGCCCTCCCGTCCCTCTCCGTTTGTCCCTGATGCCCTCCCGTCCTCTCCGTTTGTCCCAGATGCCCTCCCGTCCTCTCCGTTTGTCCCAGATGCCCTCCCGTCCTCTCCGTTTGTCCCAGATGCCCTCCCGTCCTCCCCGTTTGTCCCAGATGCCCTCCCGTCCTCCCCGTTTGTCCCAGATGCCCTCCCGTCCTCCCCGTTTGTCCCAGATGCCCTCCCGTCCTCCCCGTTTGTCCCAGATGCCCTCCCGTCCTCCCCGTTTGTCCCAGATGCCCTCCCGTCCTCCTCCGTTTGTCCCAGATGCCCTCCCGTCCTCCCCGTTTGTCCCAGATGCCCTCCCGTCCTCTCCGTTTGTCCCAGATGCCCTCCCGTTGTCTCACTGGTCTCTCTTGGTCGTAGAACTTCCACTTCCCGCTCTTCATGACGCTCGTGCACTTGTCCATCATCTTCGTTCTGTCGGCGTTGACGCGCAGAGTCCTGCTGTGTGTGACCGGGAAACCCCGCGTGGTGCTGGGCTGGAGGGACTACCTGTGCAAGGTCACGCCCACAGGTACGGCAGGGGCGGGGCTAGAGAGGGGCGGGGCTAGAGAGGGGCGGGGCTAGAGAGGGGAATTTAAAATCTCAATATTGATTTAAAACAACTTCATAAAGAAACAACAGGACCAAACCTGGACTAAACCTGGACTAAACCTGGACTAAACCAGGACTAAACCAGGACTAAACCAGAGACTAAACCTGGACCAAACCAGGACTAAACCAGGACTAAACCAGGACTAAACCTGGACTAAACCAGGACTAAACCAGGACTAAACCAGGACTAAACCAGGACTAAACCAGGACTAAACCAGGACTAAACCTAAACCAGGACTAAACCAGGACTAAACCAGACTAAACCTGGACTAAACCAGGACCAAACCAGGACTAAACCAGGACTAAACCTGGACTAAACTGGACTAAACCTGGACTAAACCAGGACTAAACCAGGACTAAACCAACCAGACTAAACCAGGACTAAACCAGAACTAAACCAGGACTAAACCAGGACTAAACCAGGACTAAACCAGGACTAAACCAGAGACTAAACCAGGACTAAACCTGGACTAAACCAGGACTAAACCAGGACTAAACCAGGACTAAACCAGGTCTAAACCAAGACTAAACCAGGACTAAACCAGGTCTAAACCAGGACTAAACCAGGACTAAACCAGAGACTAAACCAAGACTAAATCAGGAAAAAAACAGGTCTAAACCAGGACTAAAACCAGGACTAAACCAGGACTAAACCAGGACTAAACCAGGACTAAACCAGAGACTAAACCAGGACTACTAAACCAGAGACTAAACCAGGACTAAACCAGAACTAAACCAGAGACTAAACCAGATCTAAACCAGGTCTAAACCAGAGACTAAACCAGATCTAAACCAGGTCTAAACCAGAGACTAAACCAAGACTAAACCAGGACTAAACCAGGACTAAACCAGGACTAAACCAGGACTAAACCAGGACTAAACCAGGACTAAACCAGGACTAAACCAGAGGACTGGACTAAACCAGACTAAACCAGGACTAAACCAGGAGACTAAACTAAAACCAGGACTAAACCAGACTAAACCAGGACTAAACCAGGACTAAACCAGGACTAAACCAGGACTAAACCAGAGACTGGACTAAAACCAGGACTAAACCAGGAACTAAACCAGGACTAAACCAGAGACTAAACCAGAAAACCAGGACTAAACCAGGACTAAACCAGAGACTAAACCAGACTAAACCAGGACTAAACCAGGACTAAACCAGGACTAAACCAGGACTAAACCAGGACTAAACCAGGACTAAACCAGAGACTAAACCAGGACTAAACCAGGACTAAACCAGAGACTAAACCAGAGACTAAACCAGGACTAAACCAGGACTAAACCAGGACTAAACCAGACTAAACCAGAGACTAAACCAGGACTAAACCAGACTAAACCAGAGGACTAAACCAGGACTAAACCAGGACTAAACCAGAGACTAAACCAGGACTAAACCAGGACTAAACCAGGACTAAACCAGGACTAAACCAGGACTAAACCAGGACTAAACCAGGACTAAACCAGGACTAAACCAGGACTAAACCAGGACTAAACCAGAGGACTAAACCAGGGACTAAACCAGAGACTAAACCAGGACTAAACCAGGACTAAACCAGAGACTAAACCAGGACTAAACCAGGACTAAACCAGGACTAAACCAGGACTAAACCAGAGACTAAAAGACTAAACCAGGACTAAACCAGGACTAAACCAGGACTAAACCTAAACCAGGACTAAACCAGGACTAAACCAGGACTAAACCAGGACTAAACCAGGACTAAACCAGGACTAAACAGGACTAAACCAGGACTAAACCAGGACTAAACCAGGACTAAACCAGGACTAAACCAGAGACTAAACCAGGACTAAACCAGGACTAAACCAGGACTAAACCTGGACTAAACCAGACTAAACCAGACTAAACCAGGACTAAACCAGGACTAAACCAGGACTAAACCAGGACTAAACCAGGACTAAACCAGGACTAAACCAGGACTAAACCAGGACTAAACCAGGACTAAACCTGGACTAAACCAGGACTAAACCAGACTAAACCAGGACTAACCAGGACTAAACCAGGACTAAACCAGACTAAACCAGGACTAAACCTGGACTAAACCAGGACTAAACCAGGACTAAACCAGGACTAAACCAGGACTAAAACCAGGACTAAACCAGGACTAAACCAGGACTAAACCAGGACTAAACCAGGACTAAACCTGGACTAAACCTGGACTAAACCAGGACTAAACCAGGACTAAACCAGGACTAAACCAGGACTAAACCAGGACTAAACCAGGACTAAAAGACTAAACCAGGACTAAACCAGGACTAAACCAGGACTAAACCTGGGACTAAAACTGGAACTAAACCTGGACTAAACCAGGACTAAACCAGGACTAAACCAGGACTAAACCAGAGACTAAACCTGGACTAAACCTGGACTAAACCAGGACTAAACCAGGACTAAACCAGGACTAAACCAGGTCCACCGTGTGATGTCATCAAGTTCTCAGCTCCTTTTCTCTGTAGTTCAGTCCAGATCTGGCGACTCCACGACTGAAATGTTCCAGATGATTCTAGGTGAAGGTGAAGTGTGGAGTTTAAAAACACAGTGGAGCACTTCCTGTATCGCCACACGATGACATCACGAGGTGGAACAGAGTGTTTTGTCGTGTTAAATGATCAGGTTTGTGAGTGAAACGTGAATGAAACAAAAAAACACAACTCCAGGAAACAACAACAGAACAGAGGAGCAGAGGATTATGGGACATGTAGTCTGTGTATAAACACATCAGAGCAGAGGATTCTGGGAGTTTGAGTTTCTGTACAAACACATGATTTCAGAGACAGGACGGAGCGAGCGTGAGTTGTTCTGGTGTGAGTTGAAGCTGTATCAGTCTGGACTCTGGCCTCCAGACGATAACAAACGATGAGCTGTGGAAAAAAAGTCCAAAAGTCAAAATAAAACCCGAGAATTCAGCTGAAAACAGACGAGTGACACAGAACTAGAGCCCGACCGATATGAAACCGATATAATGAGAGTTGCTGCTGCCGATATAATCACCGATATATTTAGTGATGTAAAAATTCACTGTAAATGTTGAATTGTTTAAAAAACTTAGGTTTGGTTCTGGTGGATTTTAAACTGGGTTTATTTAGGAAACATTTATTGTTCTTCTGACTCTTTATGTCACATTTACAGACAGTTGGACTAATGACATTTTTACATCACATTCTAGACACTAGTGATGGGGATTCCAGTTGTTTTTTTTAGAGAACCGGCTCTTTTGGCTCGGCTCACTAAAGCAGCTGGCTCTTTTGGCTCCCAAGCGGCTCTTCAGATTGTTTTGTTGCAAACAGGACTAAACCAGAACTGAACCAGGACTGAGTGTCTGGACTCGGTCCTTCACTCGAGCCCAGGATTAGTCCTGGTTTATTCATTTTATGCTGAACTGCAGCACTTTTTTTTTTTTTATCCTATGCACATGCACATTTCTGAAAGTTTGGTTTTAAGCCGCTGCTGCTGTCAAACTACGAGTCGACAAGCGACTTGAAGAGAAAAAAAGAGAGAAAAAGAGAAAACACGGCTCCCAATAAGAAACATGCTCCTGTGGTTCTCTTCAAAGAGCCGGATCTAAGAGCCGCTTCGATCTCGACCGACTCATCACGACTAGAGAGTAAAGAAACTCCCGCTGTTAGTTTTTTCACACTTACATCAGGTTATTCTTCTTGTTTTCAGATTTATTCTTGACTTACTCGTTCTAAATTGGATTAATTCTCGTCTAGAGGTTGTTTATTTTAAAGGTTGTATAGAGGATTTTCCAAGGAACGAGAATCCAGCGACTGTTTGTCCTTTTTCAAATGTTGCTCCTGCGTGAAACCACCTCCTCCCCCCACAGCTCCTACGTAGAAACACCTCCTCCCACCTCCTCTTTACGTCAGAAACAGGTTTGTTTACAGCCGCTGCACATGACTTGAAAACAACTAACTACAGTGTTGGTTAGACAAGATGGAGAAGTGAGGAGCAGGGGGAAGAGTGGATCGGGCAGCGGGGACAGGAGCAGTGAGGGGAGCAGAGAAGGTTGCACGGAGATTCAGTGTGAATGAACTAACTACAACACGCAGCAGCAAGCGACTCTTTCTTTGCCTTGAAAATGACGTTTTCAGACACAGGATGTCACATTCATGTCCTGAAAAACGTTTGTCTCACTCTTGGAAATAAAGTAGGTTTTCATAATAAGCAGAAGTTTCCTGTCCAGGAGTAATTTGTGGACCAGTGGTTCAGTCTTTAGACTCTTCGTCTGCTTCAGTCGCTCCATCGCTGGAATGAATCTCCAAGAATCACCTTAGTTTGGCTTCGCTGCTTTTCCCCTTGTCTTCTTCTTTCACCTCAAAAACGGACTTTCTTTTGCGGCGAACTGCTCCTGGATTCTTGTCGCCATCGCAACAAACTTTGTGTGAACTGCGAGGAAGATATAGGTGAAAAAAGCCGCTAAGAACTGTTGCGTTGGTGGAGTAAACAGCGTCTGTGTCGTACGTAAACCACGTACCGGCGGCGCAGACAAGTCAGTTACACTAGAAACGTAGGGAGTTTGATTGACAGCCTGTCAGCTCACAGATAACGAGGCAGTGTCGTTATCTACTGGCAAATGTTTAGCTCCACCACGTCCAGAGTTGATGAAATTTTATTCTCTTTTTTTTGGTCATCATAATTACAAGGCGACTGCATCTATAATCTATCACTGACAATTTGAAACAAAAAAAATCCTCCATACAAACTTTAAGAGATCCTCAAAAATGAAAATGATGTTGCTGCAGGGACACAACATTTCACAACCTTTAAGTCCTTTTCTGATCAATTTAAGTGTTTAGATTTTACATTGTGCATATTAAAAATCTGATTCTAAAACTAGAATCAAAACTCGGCCCTTCGTGTTCCTCACGTCTGGATCTAAAAAAAAAGTTTCAGGACAGAGCATAAAATTTAGAAGGTTTCCTGAATGTGAACACACACACGGACCTGGTTTAGTCCTGGTTCAGTCCTGGTTCAGTTCTGGTTTAGTCCTGGTTCAGTCCTGGTTCAGTCCTGGTTTAGTCCTGGTTCAGTCCTGGTTCAGTCCTGGTTTAGTCCTGGTCCAGTCCTGGTTTAGTCCTGGTTTAGTCCTGGTTCAGTCCTGGTTCAGTCCTGGTTTAGTCCTGGTTCAGTCCTGGTTCAGTCCTGGTTCAGTCCTGGTTCAGTCCTGGTTTAGTCCTGGTTCAGTCCTGGTTCAGTCCTGGTTTTAGTCCTGGTTTAGTCCTGGTTCAGTCCTGGTTCAGTCCTGGTTTAGTCCTGGTTTAGTCCTGGTTTAGTCCTGGTTCAGTCCTGGTTTTAGTCCTGGTTTAGTCCTGGTTTAGTCCTGGTTTAGTCCTGGTTTAGTCCTGGTTTAGTCCTGGTTCAGTCCTGGTTTAGTCCATGTGGTGATACAGGAAGTGCTCCACTGTGTTTTTAAACTCCACACACCTTCACTGAATGTTTCTGTTGCAAAAGTGAAAAAAACCAACATATATATTTTTTTTTTATCAGAATACAGAAGTTTGTTTTTTTTTATTACAGTTTTGTTCTTCTCGTCCTTTGTTCACGTTTGTCTTTGTGTTTTTATTTCTGCAGCTGTTGCCACGGCGCTGGACATCGGTCTGTCCAACTGGAGCTTCCTCTTCATCACCATCAGTCTGTACGTTTACGCGGGATTAAAGGCGACACTGCGTAACTTTTCAGCTTGGGAGGCCGGTTACCATGGAGACGCTGCTGCTGATATCAGACGCAGTTCAGTTCTGGGTGTTTTTACAGCTCAAAAAAACATTTAAAAACACATGTTCTGACTGTGAGCAGGCTCGCCTCTCCACAGATCTCACCTGCAACCTGACTCTGTAGTGTGTTTTTCACCTGTAGGGGGCAGTATTGACTCTGTGGGCACCTAGTTTGTGTAGGTAAAGCCTGTAGGGGGGCACTCTGTACTGTAGGGGGTTTTGACTCTTGTAGGGGGCAGTATTGACTCTGTAGTGTGTGTTTTTCACCTGTAGGGGGCAGTATTGACTCTGTAGTGTGTGTTTTTCACCTGTAGGGGGCAGTATTGACCTGTAGGGGGCAGTATTGACTCTGTAGTGTGTGTTTTCGGCCTGTAGGGGGCAGTATTGACTCTGTAGTGTGTGTTTTTGGCCTGTAGGGGGCAGTATTGACTCTGTAGTGTGTGTTTTTGTTCTGTATTGTCTGTAGGGGGCAGTATGTGTATTGACTCTCTGTAGGGGGCAGTACTCTGTGTGTGTGTTTTTCACCTGTAGGGGGCAGTATTGACTCTGTAGTGTGTGTTTTCGGCCTGTAGGGGGCAGTATTGACTCTGTTTTCTGCAGATACACCATGACCAAGTCTTCGGCGGTGCTCTTCATCCTCTTCTTCTCTCTTGTCTTCAAACTGGAGGAACCCGTGAGTCACGTTTCACGTTATATATTTTATTTTATTTGGGACGGTCGTCGTGGTAACCAGGGGCACCGCACCGTTCCTCGTGGACCTCGTCTCCTCTGGCTCTTCTCCTCGACGCTCAGACAGTTCCACGTTCTTCTCCTCAGAACCTCCTGCTGTTCTTCTGGATCTCGTACACGTGATAGTTGTTGTTTCTCCTCAGAACCTGTTCCTCTTCAGATGGTCCTCCTCATCTCCTCTGGTTCCTCTGGTTCTTCATGTTCCTCTGGTTCTTGAATTCGTGATCGTTGTTGTTTTTCCTCATAACCCATTCCTGTTCCTGGTGGTCCTCCTTATCTCCTCAGGCTTGTTTGGTTCTTCTCTGGTTCTTATTTGATAGTCTCTGGTCTTGTTTCTCCACAGAACCTGTTCCTCTTCAGATGGTCCTCCTCATCTCCTCAGGCTTCTTTGGTTCTTCTCTGGTTCTTATGTGATCATTTCTGGTCTTGTTTCTCCACAGAACCTGTTTCTCTTCTCCTCTGATCTCCTTTCTGGTTCTTCATGTTCCTCTGGTTCTTGTATGTGTGACTGTTGTGTCTTGTTTCTCCTCAGAATCCGTTCTTGTTCATGGTGGTTCTCCTCATCTTCTCAGGCTCTTCGTGTTGATCTCTGGTTCTTGTATATGTGATAGTCTGGTCTTGTTTCTCATCAGAACCTCCTCAGTGGTGTTCCTCCTTATCTCCTCTGGTTCTTCTGGTTCTCATGTGATAGTTTTATGTCTTATCTTTCTTCAGAACCTGTTCCTGTTCTTGGTGTTCCTCCTCATCTCCTCTGGTTCTTCATGTTCCTCTGGCTCTTGTATATGTGACAGTTGTGTCTCGTTTCTCCTCAGAACCCGTTCCTGGTGGTGGTGGTCGTCCTCATCTCCTCAGGCCTCTTCATGTTCACGTACAAGTCGACTCAGTTTAACCTGGAGGGCTTCGTCATGGTTCTTCTGGCGTCGTTCATCGGGGGAATCCGCTGGACGCTCACTCAGCTGCTCATGCAGAAGGCCGAGCTCGGTGAGACACGGAGCTCAGACTCTGACGTCCGAGCTCCAGAAGAGTTTCAGATCCACCACAGCTGTGATGTTTTGTTCTTCTGTTCCACCTCAAAGTGAAATAAATCCACAGAGAGAGAAGTTCAAAACTCAAACATTTTTACAGGACGTCAAAACCCTGGAGATGCTCCTGCGCTCGTCTTAGATCAGGAACCACAGACGCAAAAGAAAACAAAAATAAACTTATGATTCATGTTAGTGACAATTAACTTAAAGAAAATCAATGTAAATAAATGATTAAATTATTTTAAAGTAAATAATAAACAAATAATCATGTTAGCCATAAAGAATGAACAAAATAACAAATAAATATAAAATCAAGTAAATATTAAATCAAAATAGGAAAAAAAAAGATCTCAATATTTAAAATTTTACCAAAATGATGAAACTGTTGATTTGAGGCTGAAACCTCCAACTTCTGCCGTCGTATTTAAAACAGAAACTTTAGTAAAACTGCACCAACACAAATAAATATAAAACAAATAATCAGGTTTAGATCTGAAGCTGCACGAGCTCAGGCCCCGTTCACACTAGTGTGTGTGTGAGTGGTTCGTTCACACTAGTGTGTATGTGAGTACAGTGTGATGGGGACTGTGTGAAAACTCTGATCCTCTGATGTGTGTCTGTCACCGCCAAAACACTAAGACACACAATATGTGTCCATTCACATAAACGTGTGTCTGTGTGCACCACCTGCACACGTATAATGTGTGAAAAGTTTCACATGAACCAACAACACGACACAAACACAGAGAGAACACCCCTCTGACACAGAGAGAACACCCCTCTGTCACAGAGAGAACACCCCTCTGACACAGAGAGAACACCCCTCTGACACAGAGAGAACACCCCTCTGTCACAGAGAGAACACCCCTCTGACACAGAGAGAACACCCCTCTGACACACAGAGAGAACACCCCTCTGTCACACAGAGAGAACACCCCTCTGTCACAGAGAGAACACCCCTCTGACACAGAGAGAACACCCCTCTGACACAGAGAGAACACCCCTCTGACACACAGAGAGAACACCCCTCTGTCACACGAGAGAACACCCTCTGTCACACAGAGAGAACACCCCTCTGACACACAGAGAGACACCCCTCTGACACACAGAGAGAACACCCCTCTGACACACAGAGAGAACACCCCTCTGTCTGACACAGAGAGACACAGCCCTCTGTCACACAGAGAGAACACCCCTCTGTCACACAGAGAGAACACCCCTCTGACACAGAGAGAACACCCTCTGTCACACAGAGAGAACACCCCTCTGACACAGAGAGAACACCCCTCTGACACAGAGAGAACACCCCTCTGACACAGAGAGAACACCCCTCTGTCACACAGAGAGAACACCCCTCTGACACAGAGAGAACACCCCTCTGACACAGAGAGAGAACACCCCTCTGTCACACAGAGAGAACACCCCTCTGACACACAGAGAGAACACCCCTCTGTCACACAGAGAGAACACCCCTCTGACACACAGAGAGAGAACAGAGAGAACACCCCTCTGTCACAGAGAGAACACCCCTCTGTCACAGAGAGAACACCCCTCTGTCACAGAGAGAACACCCCTCTGACACAGAGAGAACACCCCTCTGACACACAGAGAGAACACCCCTCTGTCACAGAGAGAACACCCCTCTGTCACACAGAGAGAACACCCCTCTGTCACACAGAGAGAACACCCCTCTGTCACACAGACAGAGAGAGAACACCCCTCTTGTCACAGAGAGAAACACCCCTCTGACACACAGAGAGAACACCCCTCTGTCACACAGAGAGAACACCCCTCTGACACACAGAGAGAACACCCCTCTGTCACAACACACAGAGAGAACACCCCTCTGACACACAGAGAGAACACCCCCTCTGACACAGGAGAACACCCCTCTGTCACACAGAGAGAACACCCCTCTGACACAGACAGAGAGAACACCCCTCTGTCACACAGAGAGAACACCCCTCTGTCACACAGAGAGAACACCCCTCTGTCACACAGAGAGAACACCCTCTGACACACAGAGAGAACACCCCCTCTGTCACACAAGAGAGAACACCCCTCTGACACAGAGAGAGAGAACACCCTCTGTCACAGAGAGAACACCCCTCTGTCACACAGAGAGAAACACCCCTCTGTCACAGAGAGAACACCCCTCTGTCACAGAGAGAACACCCCTCTACACAGAGAGAAACACCCCTCTGACACAGAGAGAACACCCCTCTGTCACACAGAGAGAACACCCCTCTGTCACACAGAGAGAACACCCCTCTGTCACACAGAGAGAACACCCCTCTGACACAGAGAGAACACCCCTCTGACACAGAGAGAGAACACCCCTCTGACACAGAGAGAACACCCCTCTGTCACAGAGAGAACACACCCTCTGACACAGAGAGAGAACACCCCTCTGTCACAGAGAGAACACCCTCTGACACAGAGAGAAACACCCCTCTGTCACACAGAGAACACCCCTCTGTCACACAGAGAGAACACCCCTCTGTCACACAGAGAGAACACCCCTCTGTCACAGAGAGAACACCCCTCTGACACAGAGAGAACACCCCTCTGTCACACAGAGAGAACACCCCTCTGTCACAGAGAGAACCACCCTCTGTCACAGAACACCCCTCTGACACAGAGGAGAACACCCCTCTGACACACAGTCACAGAGAAACACCCCTCTGACAGAGAGAACACCCCTCTGACACAGAGAGAACACCCCTCTGTCACACAGAGAGAACACCCCTCTGTCACAGAGAGAGACACCCTCTGTCACACAGAGAGAACACCCCTCTGACACAGAGAGAACACCCCTCTGTCACACAGAGAGAACACCCCTCTGTACACTGACAGAGAGAACACCCTCTGTCACAGAGAACACCCCTCTGTCACAGAGAGAACACCCCTCTGTCACAGAGAGAACACCCCTCTGTCACAGAGAGAACACCCCTCTGTCACAGAGAGAGAACACCCCTCTGACACAGAGAAGAACACCCCTCTGTCACACAGAGAGAACACCCTCTGTCACACAGAGAGAACACCCCTCTGTCACACAGAGAGAGAACACCCTCTGTCACACAGAGAGAACACCCCTCTGTCACACAGAGAGAACACCCCTCTGTCACAGAGAGAGAACACCCCTCTGTCACACAGAGAGAACACCCCCTCTCACACAGAGAGAACACCCCTCTGACACACAGAGAGAACACCCCTCTGTCACAGAGAGAACACCCCTCTGACACACAGAGAGAACACCCCTCTGTCACACAGAGAGAACACCCCTCTGTCACACAGAGAGAACACCCCTCTGTCACAGAGAGAACACCCCTCTGACACAGAGAGGAGAACACCCCTCTGTCACACAGAGAGAACACCCCTCTGTCACAGAGAGAACACCCCTCTGACACAGGGAGAACACCCCTCTGACACAGAGAACACCCCTCTGTCACACAGAGAGAACACCCCCTGTCACAGAGAACACCCCTCTGACACAGGGAGAACACTCATGAGTCTCTGTGTCTTTAGTCCAACACAAACTGAACCACATCACACACATTAGTTTATGTAAATGAATCATGTGATTTAACGTTTAGTTTGTGTAAAACTTAAATAAATGTGTCAAAGTTGTGGAGAGAAAAACCACGACACAGAAGCGACGAGTGTGGACACAGATGTTTCTGATTCGGTGATACGCAGATTCATTTCAGTGTAAACGGGGTCAGAGTGCACGACATGTTTTAATATTTAAACACTAACTGTGACTCTCCAGATTGAACAG